TGAAAAAAGCAGAAATATTTTCGAAAATACCTGTGCTGAAGGACTCCGGTCTGGTATTTGTGGAAGATTTGCCATACGAAGATAGGCAAGAGCGAAAATCTCTCGTTGCCTATTTGAAGGATGCTAAATCTAAAAATATTGATGCTAAACTAAGGAAAAATACACTATTGATCGATGGCGAAACCTTTACTTTAACTGAACTCAAAAATAATTCAGCACTAGGAATCCAGGGTAGAACTTCTCGTAGCAACTCAGTTACTACAGTGGCTGAAACTTTGTCGAATGGTAACAGTTCTACACGAAACGACACCACTCGAACGTCCACCAAACATGCTATGATACTAAGAAGACTGCAGTAATAGAATCGTTACTTGATTTGCTTGTATTAAAATATTTCCTTCTTTCCTTATTTTTATTTTCTTTTTCATATATTTTTTTTTCTCAATTGTCTTGTCAGAAAAACACGACTGTTGATTATGTTAAAATTAGCATTTCTGAATATAAGGTCTATCGCCACGGGATTTGCACAATTTAAAAGCCACGTATTGGACGAAATGCTAGATGTTGTTAGCATTGCTGAGACATGGCTTAGTCATGATATGAGCTCTGATGCGTATCGAATTCAAAATTATGAACTTATCCGGGCAGATAGAAATGGCCGAGGAGGAGGTGTGGCATTCTACATAAAATGTACGATGCCTCATAAAGTACTCTTTTCTCAAATAACAAATTCCTTAGAGCAACTCTGGATATCTATCATTCATAAAAGAAAGAGTTACGTAATAGGTGTACTTTATCGTCCTCCCAAAGCGAATTTTATTCAGTCTTTGCATGAAATGGAAGATACTATTGGAAATTTATTGCCCACTTGCGATTATCTCACTTCAACAGGAGATCTGAACATCAATTTACTCAACCCTGACAGGCGTACAGAACTCTTTTATAATCTCCTAAATTCCTATGAGCTTCATCAATTAATTAACGACCCAACTCGTATTACATCAACCTGCCAAACTCTCATAGATGTATTAGTATGTTCCAATCCTGAAGATATTGAATCAGTCAACGTCCTTGATTCAGATGGAATATCAGATCATCATATGATAAGTTTCCGTATTAAATCAATTGTAATCTCTCCACAAGTTAAATATATAACTTATCGTGATTTTTCTAAATTCAACTTACGCAATTTTCAAACAGACCTAACACATGTTAACTGGGATGCTATATACCAATTAGAGAACGTCGATGACGCATTGAATTTTTTGAATATCAATTTGATCTCTCTATTCAATATTCACGCTCCTACTAGAACTGCGAGAACTACTAGACCCCCAGCACCTTGGGTAACACCTACCATCAAAGACATGATTGAAATCAAAGAGCAAGCCTTAAGGAAATATAAGCGAACTAAACAATTAACTGACTTCGTATATTATAAAGACATTCGTAATTATACTACAGCAGCCATAAGACGCGAAAAAAAAGCATATCTAAATTTTGTACTTGCTAATAAAAATGCAAAGGCCAAGTGGGATACTCTCAGATCTTTAGAAATATTGAGAAATGATAAAAACTCGAATCTTCCCGATAATCTCAAAGATGTTTCAATAATTAACTCTCATTTTCTATCCATCAAACATGCCACCAGAACTCCTCAACAGCTGTCCCTGTTAGACAAATACTCTACACAAACGAACCAACTCTTCAACTTCCACACAGTAGACAATAATACTATCAGAAACCAACTAAATACCATTAAAAGTAATGCAACAGGATCTGACGAATTATCTTTACGCATGTTAAGATATACTGATGACAAACTGCTCGACCACATAACATACATAATCAATTTGGCCATTACTTCTAACAAATTTCCTGTGGCGTGGAAAAGTGCAAATGTAATCCCCATCCCTAAGTGTAGCACCCCCACGGACCTGGCACATCTCAGACCAATCAGTCTTCTTCCAATTTTATCAAAGGTATTTGAAAAGATTCTGAAAGAACAAATATCGAACTTTGTCAAAAATCATAACATCATAACTCCTGTACAATCTGGGTATCGGGCATTCCACAGTACAACCACGGCATTATTGAATATTTGTGACGATATCTTCAAAGCAATTGATATGAATGACATGGTGTGTCTTGTCCTACTAGACTACAGCAAAGCATTCGATACGATAGATCATGATGTCTTATGTAACAAACTCAAGTTCCTTGGATTCTCTAACAATGCAGTTGTTCTTATGCGCAGCTATCTTACTGAACGAAGCCAATCCGTTATAATGGGCTCTTCCAAGTCAGAATCTTTACCAATTGAGAGTGGAGTACCACAAGGCTCAATTCTTGGGCCAATCCTTTTCTCAATTTACATTGCAGACTTCCACAAATATGTCAAAAACTGCACTGTTCATCACTTTGCCGACGACACACAAATTTATTTGAAATTTCCCTCTAATTCAATTCCCGAATCCGTGAATGCTATTGAAGATGATCTTTTATCATTATATAACATTTCGGCTGCTCATAACCTCAAGCTTAACCCAACTAAATCTGTCGCCATACTTTTCGGCCGAAAATCTAAACGAGCGCAACTAAAACCTGGCTTCAACATCAATTTAGCAGGAACACCCTTACCTATGGTTGAAGAAACTAAAAATCTTGGCTTATGGGTTGACGAAGACTTGAGATTTACTAAACATGTGAGTTATCTTTGTCAGAGCTCCTATAATGTACTGAGACAATTGTATCCTAATCGTGACATATTATCAACTAAAATAAAACTTGAATTGTGCGAATCTCTAGTATTATCCAAATTGTCATATTGTGATAGCATTTACGGTCCAGCAATCTTACAGACTGACGCTTTACGACTTCAGAAAATTCAGAATTCCTGCATTCGATTTTCTTACGGTATTCGGAAATACGACCATATTAGTTCTAAATTCAGAGAATCTGGGTGGCTGAAATTAGAAAGCTCACGCAAGCTTCACTTACTAACACTTACTCATAAGGTCCTACAGACAGGTGAACCATCATATTTGCGTGAAAGGCTAGTCCCTTTCTCGAATGTAAATCAACTGAACACCAGGAAAAACCATTTACTAGTTATTCCGAGACACTCCACAGCATTATTTACACGTAGTTTTGCCTACAACGCATCCAAACACTATAATTCGCTCCCCACAGAATACAGGAATTTCTCTTTGTACAACTTTAAAAAAAGATTGAAACAAACATTAAGATACGCTCAGGACTGAATGATTGCTGCTGAACCTATAGCTTTTCTATTTGTCAATATTTGTAAATGTGAAATTGAATATAATGTTATTATTATTATCGTCGTTGATGTTATTATCAATAATATTGTTATTCTCATTATAAATAATATTATTATCATTAGGAATATTATTATCATTATTATTATTATTATTATTTTCTCATCTTGATTGTTATCTCTAAAAATATTATTATTCTCCTCATGCTCACTATAGTTTACTAGCTTCATATCTATTTCTTTTCTTTTTCGCTCACAGAGGTTAAGATGAAAAACAGCTTTAGCTGATCTTCGCCTATTCACCATAAACATATAACTCTCTTTCCATTGTATTATATTCTGTATTATTTTTTTTTATATTGGTGAATAAAGTCGATTATTATTATTATTATTATTATTATTGAATGATGTTTACCATAAATATCAATCAAGTATCCCCCTGGTAGAATCTACTACATTTTAAATGTAATGTAATACTTCTTATCTATGGCCACAATAGAAAGTAGGCAAGAACACACGATAGATACAGCCACTACAGCCTAAGTAAGTCGCTCTTTACGCACAGTAAGCACATCGCAGTTGTCGTTTATTCCGCCAGTCATGATCGCGTAATCGCCGTCAACAGCGGATGACATAGCTGTCAAGAATTATAAATCAGACTTGTTCAAACTTTTTTGATGTACTTTAATGGCAGTAGGTAAAGTATAGTACGTAATATGCGTGTTGGAAAGCAATTACGCACTAACTTTTCCATTCGTGCCGCGTAATATGCCTCTTACAACACATTAGGTAATATTCTATTTTTTTATGTTCCCTGTTATAATCATATTTGTCAATTGTTTCTTGGGAATAATGAAGAGATGATGATGATTGGTTACAAAAAAAGATAGGTACATTTTCATATTAGAAACAGACCTGCTCTGGAATTCATTGCCTGTGGAAGTATTCCCAACAACATATAATCTCCAAAAGTTCAAAAAAAATTCCAATACCTACCTCCTGTCCCTATCCTCCCTAGGAACGCACGATATTCTCTGAACATTATAGGGATTCCCTTTCGTGCGCTCCAAGCGATAAAAAAAAATTATCTAGAAAACGGAGCTCCATAATACAAGTTTTATATCGATTTTTCTTTTCATTTTTACTAGTTCTATCGCGTATTAATTGGCGATGTTCCCGATTTCAATATGACGCCCTGTATAACATGCAATGGTGAAATACAGTGTTTCTATATAAATGATCGTAGTGGCCGTTGTTGAAATAGTGCCGGTCTTCAGGGAAACCCGGTCGCGTATTTCGAAAAGCGTACTCAATTGGTTACCAAGACGTAATAACGTAGGTACTGTGAGGAAGGAAAATATCATTTCTGTGCGAAAAAGGATACTTCTAGACCTAACTCTCACTAAACTAACCTTTTTCCTAAAAATTATATTTCTCGAAAAATTACTCTAGTAAAAAAAATGAAAAAAGTTGACGAGTTGCAGGGTTTGAACCCCAGCCACCGCCGTGGTAGTCAGATACACAGTCCACCGAGCTCTCGGGTTACTCGAAAGTTTTCATTATGAAGACAGAAGAAATATCGTTTGTTCCTTGCCGAAATAGGGACGGGTTAATCCGCATCTCATCCACAAATTCCTCATAAAAAGCGTATCTGGTACGTCCTACAGCGATAACCAACCAAATAAGGGATTACACACGCGGAGACCAATTGCATTCGCTTTTAGGAATACGCAGCCCGGTCGTCCCATTCAGACTTCAGAGATCTGACGTCATATGAATTTGATTCATGTTCTATGGGCATTCTACTGTCGTTGCTTCTTGCTTCGATGTTCGATTGTTCGATGGATGATCTGATGACCTTGAGCGCGAGAAGTGAAAGCAAAACAAATAAATATTTGTAAAATTGTAAATCTATTTTTAATGGAATCAATACAAAACATGATATTCATGTGATAGTGGTACAGATTACAGGTTCATGAAGATTCTTATATCCTACTATAATAGGTACATTATCAGTTATTACTTTTTCTTTAAGAAACCTAATGGTCTGGCCACTGGCCTGTATCAAGGATCGAGTTATGGTAGATCGTAGATGGTATATTTATTGAATTATGGTTAAAATTATGTACATGACTGATATGATATGTGATATATTCCATTACATTTTCTAGGTTTTCTGAGGTGGAAGAACTATTTTCAACAAAATTAAATGAATAATGAAATAGTCGCAATGCTCAAAGTGGACTGAAATGTTGAATAAATACAAAAAGCTCAGTCATTTCCACACAATGTTCATAAAATGAACAGCAATGGTAGATTCCGGGAGAAAAAGAACTACTTTCCTGGCTAATGCCACGCAGAACATTGAATTACATCCTTCTGGAATCCATATGCATCGACTCATATAAAACGAATACTGATACAAGTGATTCTTCCCAGAATGCCTATTGATTTTGATTTAGCCAGGCCACGCTAGACACCTACAGACTGGTTTCGAGCTTTTTGACTCTTATCAGTGAAGGGCCGTCTCCAACCAGCAGTCCTAAGACCGCCGACTAAGCGTAGCGTAGCCTAACAAAAATCGAGTCGGCATAATATTCCCTCAGAGGCGCCCCCATAGACAATATGAAAGCAACGCCATCTGCGTAGAAAAGAAACACTCCAAAACCAAAATTCCCATACAGAAGTGACTGGTTGCCCGGCGTAATTTCAACTATGAAATAGACACAATTCTCAAAGTTGAATGAAATGTTGATTGAATACAAAGAGCTCATAGTCATTTCCACACAATGTTCATGAAATGAACAACAATGGTTGATTTCGGGAGAAAAACAATTACTTTCCTGGCTAATGCCCACGTAGAACATTGAATTTACATCCTCCCGAAATAAAAATGTTTGTTTGGCTAGGCTATACGCTTAGTCGGCGGCCTTAAGATTGCTGGCTGGAGACTGCACTGCACTGATGAGAGTCAAAGAGCTCAAAACCGTTCTGTTCGTGTCTAGCGTGGCCTGGCTAAATCGAAATCAATAGGCATTCAGGAAAGAATTACTTTCATCAGTATTCGTTTATACGAATCGATGCATAGATTCCGGGAGGATGTAATTCAAGTTGTTTTTCTTCCGAAATCTACCATTGTTGTTCATTTTATAAACATTGTGTGGAAATGACTTCCAGCTTTTTGTATTTATTCAAAATTAAATGACATGTTTTACACCTGCCCAAAAACTATCATTATGTGTTAACCCTGGAATTCTTTCTCTGATATATTTATTTTCCAAGTAACAAAATGGATTATTGAATAACGAGCAAAGCATGTTCATTGAGAATGAAATTGACTAGGTACATATATAAGACATGATTATTGGAAACACAAAACAAGAACAATTATCATGAGGTAATTCTTTCTTATTGTGCTGGCAGAGGTAGGTAGTTTACTGTAAGAATTTTCTTGTTTTCATTGTGTACATGTTTATTTGTGAAAACTGAGGAGTAATTTTCAACCATATTCCAAGATTTTCAAGTGATTAGCACAGAAACATCAAAAGGATATACATAGGTGGATCATCAATATGATTTTCATGTATAAATTTATATTTGAGAACTAGGTATTGCCTATATATGAGAAGGTTTTATTTATCGCTTGGAGCAAACGACGATATATCAATAGATAATTAATTATCGATATAATATCGATAAAAATTCAGATGAAGAAATTCAGAAATTATCGGTTTATCGATAATATCGATGATGATGACCCCTCCTGGATCCGCCCTTGAGTTTGATCTCCATAACTGGAAAGCGGCAAATCGATAAAATATTTCAATGGTCACTACGATATGCTACGATCATTAATATAGAGATCGACCCTGTATTTATACATGTTGTAAAAGTGACAAATGACATATATGTGACGTACATATTCAGGGTGTCTCATTTAAATAACGAGAGTTGATGCAACAAAAAAAGTTGAAGACCCCGACAGAGCGGCAACTGTTCTCTGGGTCACCCGGTATATATATAACATTTCATATATCTGAGAAAGAAATCTGTGATGAATGGAGAAAATCGGTTTTCATAATATAGGAAGGTAGCAAAATCATCACAGTCTTATGCTGGGTGTCTTATTTGATTGAAAATCATTGAATTCAAGATGCATATATTTTTTTGTTTCATCGATATAAAAGGGTGTTACAAAACTCCCTGTGTATTAAACCTGCAGCTTTTCTATTTCTTGAATCAACAAAGGAATAAATGGCAGTAATAATTATTCATTCAATGTTTTCATCAATTTTCTTTTCAGTCAGTGATGCAAATTAAGTATAAGCATGTTTTATTTCTTCTCTAGCAATTTCTGAATTTCCAAAATACTTTTACCTTTAGTTTCAGGAACCATGAAGTATATGAATCCAGAGCTCACAAAACAGCACATACTGAATAACCAAATAAAATAATGTATCCCCAAGATTTCGGACACAATCGGATATGCAGATGTCAGCAAAAATACCACAATAGCCATAACCGTCATAGTAAATGAAATTGCCACTGAAATTATATCGCTTGGAAATAATTGACTTACTAATGCGATGGGAATTGGACCCAATCCCAAAGAAAAATTTATGATGTAACCTAGTATACAAACAATAGGTAGCCAGCGGATATCTTCAATGAACATTTGATTGTTATTTTTCCAGTAGAAATATAAACCAAGAAAGAATAAAGGTATTCCAGACCCAATACAAGAAAAAAGTAGTAGAGGCCTTCTACCCACCTTTTCAACTGTAAACGAAGTCACCAAGAAAGTAATAATTTTAACAATTCCTACTAGTATAGCCACAGAATTTCCAGACAAGCGAGTACCAGCGTCGTTAAACATAGGTCCCAAGAACGACATAATTACCACGACCCCTGCAAAATTTTGTGCCAACTTGAGCCCCACCCCAATCAAGAGTCCTCTACGCACAGCTCTTGTCTTAAACAACGACAGAAATCCCGAGGTTTTGACCCCTGCTCTAGCTTCCAACGCTTCTTCGATCCTCTTGTAATCCCTCTCGATCTCCTCGGGTTCCTTATACATCCTCAACTTCCCCAGTGCCCTGATCGACCCCACTCGATCCTTCACACTCGCCAAATAAACGGGCGACTCTGGTACTACGGTCGAGAAAAACAGTAGGCTCGGCACCAAAGGAGCCACACATAGCAACGTGAAAACCCGCACTGAAGTCACAGGGCCTACGAGGTACCCGAAAAGATTCCCCGCAGGGTTAGCCAGCCCCATCAGACACCCGAACTTCACCCGGTTGCAGTCCTCGCATATCTCGCTCAGGTAAATCGGGACGGCTATGCTTGCAGCTCCCCGGAACAGGGAGAACGCCGACCTGCCCACGTAGTACACATACACGTGACCTCCGCACGCGACCGCTATATTGGACGCCAGCATCCCGGCTGCCATGCACATGATCGCCCGCTTCCGGCCTATGAGGTTGGGCAGCTTGGCGAACGCGAGGCCGCCCACGACTAGGGTCAGGGCGGGCAGGCCGGCTATGAGCGAGATCTGGTAGGCGGTGATTGGTTGGCCCAGGGGGTTGATGTCGGAGTCGTTGGATTTCAGCTTGGGGATGACCGGGGAGGTCCATACCATGTCTGTGGTGCCGGCGAATAGGACCATGCATGCTGGAAAAGGTGGGGTTTGATAGGTGGGATGGAATTTCAAAATTTGCATGGGTGAATGAGCACTTTGCCCTCCATTAATTGTTAAAAATGTTAATCCATATTGAATAATATTATTGTTGTCCCCTTTTTTAATTTCCACAAATTGTCTTAAAATGCTTCTGCTGATGATGGACTATTGATAGTCCGAAACATGTTCAGATACTGATAATTCTGATAATGAATTTGTGGAGATGACGTAGAGTGTCATGCGTATGAATTTATATTCACTCCACTTTGAGATACTATGGACTTCTACCGTAGATCAAATATATACAGGGTGGGCCACCAGTAACGCCTCGGTCTCTAGAAGGCTAACCACTTATCTTCTTGGAATTCTTCCTTTCTAGGAAGTTGCATGTCAACATAGGTTACCATTTAAAATTATTTCGAAACATACAGGGTGTCCCCAAAAACCATAAAACACTGAAGTTAAACTTTTTTCTATCGAACACCCTATATATTATTTCATTTTGAGATTCTCCCTGATGAGCTGATTTTAACGACCCATCATACTTGGGATCTAGCAGTTATAATTACTGAAATATAGGGTGTGAAAAATCGAGATTTTCCAAGTTCAAGAATTTTTTGTGTCGAAACTATTCATAATTGGTCAAAACGGCTTACATGTCCCTATCTGAACTTTTGATTAACTATCTACTGATATTTAATTGGGACATATACCGGGTGATCAAGATTCTGAATTCTGCACCACCCTGTATTTGTTTCAATTAAATGTCAGTAGATAGTTGATCAAAAGTTGAGATAGGGACATGTGAGCCGTTTTGGCCAATTATGAATGGTTTAGACACAAAAAATTCTTGAACTTGGAAAATCTCGATTTCTCACACCCTATATCTCAGTAATTATAACTGCTAGACCTCAAGTATGATGGATTGTTGAAATCAGCTCACCAGGGAGAATCTCAAAATGAAATAATATATAGGGTGTTCGATTGAAAAAAGTTCAACTTCAGTGTTTTGTGATTTTTGGGGACATCCTGTATGTTTCAAAATAATTTCAAATGGTAGCCTATGTTGACACGCAACTTCCTAGAGAGGAAGAATTCCAAGAAGATGAGTGGTTCGCCTTCTAGAGACCGAGGCGTTACTGGTGGCCCACCCTGTATATTCCCAGATATACAGAGAAGTGGACAGAACATGTTTATTTAATCACTTCCGCTTCGATTGGAAACAACCCCAACTTTTGATTTTCATAAAGGACACCCCATATATTCCGACATTTTGTCTTAAGTGTGTTGAACGATCCGCTGAATCCAAATATGACATCGAAAAAAATACAGATTAAACGTGTAGCGGAAGTCATTTTAAACATTTCATGTAGATAAAATAACAATAACATTTTTATTTGAAAAATAAAAAGATTAGTATCTGTGAGAAATTTTGTTGATTTATCTCATACTGTTTCGAAATTTGCATCAAAAAACAATATTCAGAAACGTACAGGGTGATTCACCATAAATGTCCCCCCCCCCTCTAGCTCAGTTATTTTTGAACCGATTTCAAAATTTAAAATATCATCTTAAATGATTTTCGATGAAGTTTTTTTCCGCTACATCAGAAATCACAGGGTGCTCGGAACAAACGATCTACAGGGTACTATTTGATTTTTTAAATGGAACACCCTATTTTCCATTGTATTTTTAGATTCTCGCTGAAGAGCTGATTTGATCAATGCATCACATTTGGGGTCTAGCGGGAATGATTACAGAGATATAGGGTGTTCAAAATCGAGATTTTTCAACTTTAGAATTTTTTGTGATGAAACTATTCATTATCGGTCAAAACGGCTTTCATGTTCGTATTTTAACTTTTGATTTACTATATCTACCGACATTTGATAATTGGAACAGATACAGGGTGATCAGAATTCTGAATCTTGAACCACCCTGTGAATGTTCCAATTAAATGTCAGTAGATAGTAAATCAAAAGTTGAGAAAGGGACATAGAAGCCGTTTTCACCAATAACGAATAGTTTCGACACAAAAAAATCCTAAAGTTGAAAAATCTCGATTTTGTGAACATCCCTACATCTCTGTAATCATTCCCGCTAGACCCCAAGTGTGATATATTGATGAGATCAGCTCTTCAGGGAGAATCTAAAAATACAATGAAATACAGGGTGTTCCATTTGAAAAAATCAAGTAGTACTCTGTAGATCGTTTGTTCCGAGCACCCTGTATTTTCTGATGCAACTGTAAAAAAATTTTTGAAAAATCATTTCAGATTATTTTTCAAATTTTTGAATAGGTTCAAAAATAAGTGAGCTAGAGGGGGGGACATTTATGATTAATCACCCTGTACCTATTTTCAACACACTATATCTCGAAAACGACGCGTTTAAAAGTATAAGTTTATATGAACTTTTTTCATTATTTCAACGAGTACAATAGCACCGTTGAATTCTTTTCATCACAAACCGGACCACCCTGTAAATCCCGACAATCATATGTTATGAAGAAAAATACTGCATGATCTAAAAATGATTATCTGCAACGTTTTTGTTAATTTATAAACTACAATGAATTAATCTACCTAAATTGAGGTAATGCGTATATACAAGGTGATTCTAAAATATGTGGTCAAACTTTGGGAGCATATAGAGTGGGTGAAATAGTTACGAGAACCTCCGTAACATTTTTTTCTGAAGTGACCCCCAAGAAGAATACAGCCCCTCAAAGGGGGGCTTCGGAGAATGATTTTGTATTATTATCTCCAACACCTTGTATAATGAAAATCTGAAATTTTGTCTATCCAATTACAATTCAGTGCCAGTGTCCGGGAGTTAAAATCACCTCAAAATTAAATACAGGGGTGTGTCAAAATAGGGAGGAAGGGGGTAAAAATAACCCCACCTTTTTTGTTCATCGCAATTTCAGATTTTTTACATGAAATTATGAAATCTCAGGGCTATTTACATAGAAAAGGTGCTCTTGTTGCATCTCGATAAAATGAACTATTAGCGAATAAAATTTATTTTTTCAAGATTTCATTTAAATTGCGATTTTGGTATGTATTTTATTTTGATTATCTAGGTAAAATCTCGCCTACTTCTAATCGTCTGATCAACTTAGAATCTGGCAGATGACAGTTGACAATGCGTTATGGCGGCTCCAATGTGGCTGACCAGATTTGTGATTATGGTTCGATTCGTTTCAAAATTGGTATGTGAGGGTTTTTGGGGTTGGAAATTTAGAATTCGTTGTGGGAATTCATGAAATCAAAATAGCCGACGAGTTTTGTTATTATGGACTGATCCTATTAAAAATAAAATGAAAAATATTGTTGAAAACAAGCTTTCATTACATTAACTATTGAAATAAAAAATTGCAATTCAAATGAAATCTTGGAAAAATCAATTTAATTCGCTAATGGTTCATTTCATCAAGATTCAACAAGAGCTCCTTTTCTATGTTAATAGCCCTGAGATCTCATAATTTCATGTAAAAAAACTGAAATTGCGATGAACAAAAAAGTTCAGGTTATTTTTACCCCCTACCTCCCTATTTTGACACACCCCTGTATTTGATTTTGAGGTGATTGCAACTCCATTCGAACCGGCACTGAATAGTTACTGGATAAACAAAATTTCAGATTTTCATCATACAAGGCGTTGGAGATAATTATACAAATTCATTTTCCGAGGCCCCCCTTTGAGGGGCTGTATCTTTCTTGGGGGGCACTTCAGAAAAAAATGTTACCGAGGTTTCCGTAATTATTTCACTCACTCTATATACTCCCAAAGTTTGACCACCTATTTTAGAATCACCTTGTATATGTAACTGTTTTTCTGGATTGTATAGCAGTTTTCCGTCTCGAGAGAGTCGTCTTATTTTATTAGGCGTTCGGTCGTTGATTGGTAGGTATTTTGGTTCCTTCTATATAGATTGGGTTATAAGAATAATTAAGTAATTCTGGTCTATGTTATGTTCAGTTCATCACATTATTATGACTTTTCGAGAAACAAGAGAGTCCTTCATATATTATATAGGTGTTTCCAAGATTGGAGGGATGATTTAGATGGGGAGTTTTATGAAATGATTAATCGCAAGAAGAAATTTACCTGTAAATGCAGATAAATGTAAGAACAATGTCTCTCTCCTTTTGTGCTCATCGTCACGTATGAGTTCTTGCTGATTATCACTGATATTGCCTGATGGTATGTAAATAACTTCTTTGGAATCTGCAATTTTCCCCATCTCCATTGTGTTGAACGTGATATTATAATAACATAGATAACAATAAAAAATAAAGACGCGTATAAATTTCTACTATTTATTTTCAAGATGCATGCAACACATAATTATATGATATATCCTCGTCCTCATAATCAACAAGAAGTTTATTATCATACTGTTCATTTTAAATCTATTGTTTGCTTTAGAATCAAAATTCACAGATAATGTCAGTGTCGCAGCTAACGATAGGCTATTCGAATTCCAGCGCATCTCGCGTGGCTCACTTATCCCGTTTGGCGCACGTATGACCCGCGCGTGGTGCTCATTTCAGCCTGTGTGTTACATTGTCGGCCGTGGGCCCACCATGTACTCACGGCGTCGGGGTGATTCCAGACACCACTGGTTAAAAGCTTGAGGTCCTCACTCTTGTCATGGTAGCGGAACGTGTGAAAGGCCGCGAACGAACACCCATCAAACGGGACTGGAGGATTTTGGTCGACATGGATAGCTTGGGCTTGCTCAGCGAAAACTGGAACTCTGGTGTACCTTGTGCCTTAGTTCGTCAGGAAGGGGGCAGCACCAAGCGATCCTACCGCCAGATATCGTAGGCAAAGCCGGTTCCTCTCCTGTAAACGAGGTAGCAGAACGTATGAAAGTCCTCGAACGATCAGTCATTCAACGGGACGAGAGGATTCTTGTCAACATGAGTAGCAATCAGGCCAAAGCCTCTTGCGACGGCGACCTATCAAACGAAACAAGAGGAATCTTGTTGACATGGGTACCTGGGGCGATGAGGATAGCCCCATCAGGTCGTACGTACGGCCTCATGCCTCACCAATTAGGTCGGACTCCAGGGGGCAGCGGTTTTCAAAAAAACCACCGGACTACGGTATAGAGGAGGGGAAGAAGAATCCCACTATGGGTCAAGTGGGAGGATATCTTGCCTGCCTCGGCGGGCGAGCAGCGTTTCTGCTCGGGCACTGACACTGCAGAGCCAGTAGCCTGTTTTATCAGACGGCCTCACCATTGGTATAATAAAATGGCAGGAAAAGCAGGAAAACATGCCGTTACATAACGGAGATGGCTCTAGCGCGCTGATTTGGCGTATCCAAATCCTCCATTTGTCCCTGGGGTGCTGTCGGTATGTCAAAAGATAGGTGACCGGCAGCTATTCCCTATGGGAGTCTTAATTGTGAGAGAGGGGAGGGAATCCCACTTGGTTGCTACCCCGGCAACATATTGATCTTTGATCTCTCTGATGTGTGTTACATTGTACAAGCTTTCACCGAATAATTAACAAAAATACCTGAAAACTCATTATTCATATCACTATAACGGGTATAGAACTGATATAAAGTAAAAATTCTTAAGCCCACTAGAAAATTTCAACTAAGAAATATTCAAGGGCGGATTCAGCCCTAACGTCTAGTGAGTGTCTCCTAAACTTGATAAGAAGGTGTTGCCTGAGGTATTTTTATAAAAAAGATCCTATAAATATTTGTGGAAAAATGCTTCCTAAGGAAGCTCCGACCATCAAAATAGGAAAACCTGAAACGAAGTTTCAAAACCGTTTATCCAAAAATCATGAAAATTTAAAAAATGTCGATGGCATCATTCTGATGGAGTGGTTAAGAATCCCAGTTTTTTGTTTTTTTTTCATATTCTGATATACTTGGAGGTGTTTCACGTGAAAAGGTATGCCCAGTTCATTTCAATAGGGCTAGTAGTTTTCGAGAAAATAATTGTCTGCATCAATGCATCGGAACCCTAAAGACGGATTTTCCTAAATATTTTCGAAACCGCTTGAACGGAGATATTGGAATTTGGTACACTCTACATGAACTTTCAACGCCAGATAAGATTATGAGCTCGAAATTTTAGAATTTCCGTCAGATACGTATCATACAAAAGTTATTGTGGGTATCAAAGCAACCCCATTTTTTGACGATTCATTCAATTCAACATTCGATTTATTAGAACTAGGAATCTATCATAATTGCTAATTTTTTCCGTGAAAATTGCAATTTATCACACAGATACCATATCTCCTTAGAAGCCATCTAAAACTGGAGTTCTAACCTAACCCCTTTATTATGATACACTTATTGTGATGAGAATTTTGAAAATCTCAGCTCAGGATTTGATTTGGCATGAAAAGTATGCAGTGTAGGTGCCAAATTTTGAATTTTCAGGGTGAGCGGGTTGTGAATATTGGGACAAATCTCTGTGATCGAGGTACCGATGCATCACTGTATAGAAAACTGCGATTTTTTCAAAGAAAACTTGCCCTATCGACTCGTATTAGGGGTAGCTATACTTTTTTCACGTAGAAAACCTTCAGGTATCATATTCTGAGATGCGAATGTCTAAAAAAATACCATTCAAAAATAATTATTTTCACCTGAATATTCTACCAATTATAAGGAAACATACTGTATATGCGAAAAAAACATATATATATAGTTATGGGCAATACAATTTTGATTAATTCCGGCCTCATCTGCGCAACATGTGAATAAGTATGATTTGTTCACACTATCATTTGTTTGGTGAATTGAGCAGAAAATTCACAGAAACAATCACCGGTTAACCTGGACCCAGGGAAGGGGACCCCCATGGCCCCCTCCTGTAGATCTAAACTTGGAAACATTACTGTTTGGATTGGATTGGGATAACATACACACTATCACAAAAACGACAATAATGAAAACTTCGATCAGAACTCATTCATGCAAGGTGAAATTTGTAACTTTATGGTGAAATATCCTCGGAAACATCTTAATAAATAATGGTTTGTTCACATTTTCATTATCAAATTCGTGTTTTTCAGACAAAAATTCGTAAGTACCAAAAAAAAGTTTCGAAAAAAGCCCATGATAAATGCAGTATTACAATCACATATTCTGTGGATAAGTTTTCATGAACAATAGTATAAAACTAATAAAAAATAACAAATGTACATATACTACCTACTCGTTGTTTGGCCCCGTCCGCCACTGGAGGGCCATTACCTAATCCAAATAAACATTTCTTTCAACACAAAATGATGATTCACAACTCACGACGCTCCCGAAATCCACACGGCCCTCGAAATCCGCACGGCCCGCGTGACCCACACGGCCCGAATAACTTGTGCGGCCCGCTTAACCCGCACGGCCCTAAAATAACCCTATCGGCTTCAATCATATGAATCGGCCCGCCCCGCATGCTGGGCTCGCAGTGCGGGTTGTGCCGGGCCTAGGACCGCACGGGTCGGTCCGGCCCGTACCGATAGCCCCATCATGAATAAATACTGTGAGGACTCAAAAACTCTCCCCCTCCCCCTTTCATCTTTTGAACGGAATAACAAGCTCGAGTCATGTCATGTCTCAGTAGCAGAATAGCGTCTGTCAAAAAAGCGATACGAAATAGAGCTAGAGGTTAAAATAGCGCTGGACAAAATAGCGCCGCACAAAAATAACGCAGAACAAAAGCAAGTTGCGGACACAATGGTGTCGGTTCAAATAGCACTGTGACTATAAATAACGTCGGGTTAAATAACGTTAGAAAATCAACTATTGAAATAGGACGTGATTGAAAAATCAAGTTTTCAAAATTAATTTCAATACGAAGCAAAGTTTATAACAATCAACAATTTAACAAATTTTGAGCCAATTTGAGCCCGAACTGTGAATACTGTTCAAAGTTATTGAAAGCATACGTTTGAACTCAGTTTGAACCAAGGTTTTCAACCTGTTTTTTTAGCTGGACGTATTTATTGTTAGGACTTTCTTTTTTCCGAAACCCTGAACGGTATCTAGTAACGAAGATTTCTGTAGACTTTTGTTCCTTTTTCAATTGATTGATCAATTTGTATACAGGAGGATGCTGGCAGTTTATACCTTTCTGTAAGGAATTGTGTCATGCTTCAAGGGAATTATTTGTTTTTGGTAAATCGTTTTTCACCCGCTCATAATATTGATTCCATAAATTTATACTGAATCGCGGCTTGATATTATGAATCCTCTTACCAACGTAATTATCTTCCCAATAGTCGGCTTTAGTTCATCAGGAAAGTTTTCATGAATGATTTCCATCAGTGCAAACTGCACTACACTTTCTCATGGATATAATAACATATAACTGAGAGCAAGAAGCATCTCACATTTTGTTCTTATGTTTTCGTTGTCTCTGTATGGGTTTGTTATAATTGACAAGGTTGTATTTTCCTCCATAAGTTCTGCGCCAGATGAAACGAACAACCGACAATACGCGTGTTGGAGAATATATACTTTTTTCACTGCGTTAATAGACGATTGTTCAAAATCAACGAGTATAGTTTCAGGCTACAGTTCAGCATCTAAGACTTTCAGGGTATTAGAAACTTGAACGTGAATACCTTCTGATTTATTTGGCAAAAGAGAGAGCATATTTACGGTTCTCTTTACCTGAATCCCACAGTAAGAAAACTTCACCTCTGCATGCCCGTTTTAGAATATTTGTCGTCTATTCTCACTTCAGAAATATCGTCAAATACTGAAGAACTTGAAAATATCTTGTTTCTTATTCTTTGCACTGTTCTGTGTGATGCCTCATAGCTTGGAAGACTAAACAGCCACTTCCTCCGAAGTTACACTGATGCTGCAAGCTTGTTGTATGATTTCTCTTGGATTTGCATCCGTTTCAGAAGCCCCTTCGCGTATAGTTTCTTTCACGATTCTGATTACTTTCTCTACAAGATTTGGCGCGTGATTATGTTCCGTGGTTGGTTTTGCTGTCTCACCGCTGAGTATAAACCTTTCTTTACAACCTGACTTAGAACATCCTTGTCATATATACTGCCTCCGTATATAGTATGACGTTATAGTTGTAGCCCTGAAAATGCAGTGTCTTCTGATACCGAAACCATGGCTTCTGTTTATTCACTTCGTCGATTTGTTGTTTCGTCTTCCACCAATGTGTTGCCTATCTTTTGCACTTTTTTCACCGTACTGATGAGAGCCGAAAGCCCGAAACACGTGACTGCGGTTAACTCTTTCTGAGGGCTATGTCCAATAATCTCCTCCTAGTTTATCTATCTATATATCTATGACGATCGATACATTTTTCGGAAAATACAATATCTAGGACAAACTCTTCTCACTCAAAATGTTTTTCCAATGCTATAGTCCGGTTCTGAAGTTTTTTCGTGAATACATGCAGAGATTATCTCAAATTAATTATAAGTTTGAATTCCAACCGACCCAAAACACATCGAGACTCCTCTGCTCAGCCAACACATCTGTGAAATGACATCTCTGAGATGTCGCGTTTAGGTAATAGTGCGATATCACAAACATTCCATCGCTGCGATGTACAGAAGCAAACACATCTGCGACATGACATCTCTGAGATGTCGCGATCAAACTTTACCTTTGCAATATTGCAGAAAGTCCGTTTCAATAATTGCTTCAACATTGCATCAACATAGCTTTCAACTTTGCTCAGTTGGGACACTACATAATACATAATTTTTTATACAAATATAAGAGTATAACTGATCTCATTATTCTGATATAGATTATATTAGGTACCGCAAGGATAGCGCCGCTGGATGATTGAAATGGACAGGAGACCTGATAGGGACCACCAAATATCCAGTCACAATAACAACTCATAATCGATATTAGATGTCATCAGAATTCAGTGGTGTACAGGTGTACCTAATATTATCACACAACATGTCTGAAAACAATGTTTTTTTTTGTTCAACGCATCACATTGTAGTTTTATTGCAAAGCACATTACTTTTCCATCACAAAAATAACATATCCCATCAATTAAATTGCGAGGAATATATCGCTGTTATATCGCAGATAACTTATCGCATCAGCGACGACGTCGCATAGATGAAACTTGAGTGGGAGAAAATTACATCAAAGGTGGATGTTACATCCCTCTGACATCGCAGCGACGTCTATGCAATGATATAACCGTGTTTGGTGGGTGGTGGAAATCTCTTTCACCATATTATATAGTTTCAAAGTTTACAGAATTAAGGCAACATATTCATAGTCTCTCCGCGAAACGGAAATTATATACTTTGTATCCATATAAGGGATAGGCAATAAGAACAGACAAAATATATTGTCATTCTCTCACATATATTTCAGCTCACCTTGACTGCTGCTCGTGCCCTCTATCCACCATGGCAAGTCATGAAGCGCTCACCCTGTATATCATCATGAGTTTAATAACCTTCAGGAAGTAACAATAATGATGCATTCATTATTTAAGAATGTGGAAGACTAGTGGAAGATGGATGTGATGTGAATATATTCGAGATTTGATTTCATCGACGATATAATTGATTAGAATTTACCGCCATGATCTGAAAAGCCCTGATTGGCCAATACGAATCGCTCATACGTATGTCTGGGCTAATCGAATTCTTGGGTCTTATGTGTGAACGATCTATAATTTATGATGATCTAAGGATTTATTAGATTTATTATACCTACGTGTCACTTGTCAATATCAAGAATATCAAGGTCATAAATCAAAGCAGAAAAATAATAATGTTGATTAGATTATTAATTTATCTGTATTTATTTTATAAATAATGTCGATATTTGATATCTATTATGACTATTTCATATTTTCAGTCGAATATAGGCGCAAATAGGTGCTATAACAATTGAATTTATGCTATTATGTTATTTAAACTTTTGTAAATATTCAATGTGCTATGTTTTACCGCGCTATTTTTAAAAAGAATAACCTGTTGCGCTGGAAGGTATGTGGATGTGCATCTAGGGTATACTTATTATTAGTTGAAGAATTAATTATATCACATTTTTTAAGATACTAAACTAGTAATTTTTTGTTGAATGATATATTTTTCATTATAATTTAGTAATAAACAAGTTTTGTTTCATCATAATCATAATATCATATCATTTGACCCTAAATTGTTTATGATTTCTCAGGTTATCAGTTCATTTTCATTGTAAAATCAGTGATTTTCACAATAATTCATTATAGATAACGTATAAAAGCATCTATATCTCTGTTTTAACAGAGATTTCAAACAATATTCCATATTCATAATCAAAATTCCCAGTGTGATTTTATTGACTTCTTTTGAGGTTAGTAGTAGAGGTATGTAGTATAATCAGAACACACTAATCTCTCCAATTGAATAATGCATACTTTTAAAAGCTCTATTTTTCGCCAGATACAAAAAGTGTTCTCATATCAAAGTACAAAAATGAGCAACCAAGCTCGTGATATATCAAAGACCCTGAATGCTAACCTATGGGATGCTGATCCAGAATTATGGGACCTCATCAAAAAGGAAAAAAGAAGACAGTTAACTGGTCTGGAAATGATTGCATCAGAAAATTTTACTACCATGCCAGTATTACAGTGTCTAAGTTCTTGTCTGCACAACAAGTATTCTGAAGGGTTGCCTGGACAAAGGTATGTTTAGCTAGAATAATCTCAATTATAATTACTTATCCATTTCAAAATGGTTTATTCCTTCTTCTGTGGGACATGGCTTTGTAATATTCTTATCATTAGAGTTGAATCAACATTTTTCTCATCTATACTCCACACTGAAGGTGCATCCATGTAACTTTTGAACATACAATAATTATTGTAGGTAACTCAACAAGTAGTTCAATATAACCTTGAGCCTGCATAGGATTATAGAGTCAGGGCTTAAGTTAAAAAAGGTTTTTTCAGACAACTGCATAAAAATTACTGATAATTTTGCAAGGAATCATGTATTGTTACCTATCTAAAAATGGCAACAGAAGTTAATTTTCATATTTTGACAAAAGAGCCTAAGTCCAAAGATGGAGCAGGGCTCTTTTACACAATATGAGAATAATCAAATGCAATTTGTATAAGATAACATTATGCTTGAATGCAAAATTATCCCATCATTTTGATGTAGGAATGTAATTCACTGGAATATTTCCAGAATTAGAAACTTTTTGACATGATTATTTTTTTCCTGAGAAATATCATATCACTGAGAAAAACTATGAAACACTTACCAAAACTAGACATTTTTTTCACTTTTTGAAGTCTATCTGATATTGTATTGTTTAGCAACATGATTTCAAATGTGTTGTTATGGTGATGGGATGTATTCCCAGTGCAATCTTTCCCGAGATCTTTCCTCTGCAGTGCAATTAATACTGTAATTTTATTTATGAGGGAAATATTCTGTTGAATTTACCATTTACCATAATTAACCAACAATAATATCCTTCAAATATTTTGCACTTGATTTTGCATAAAAGTTTCCATTGAAAAACATGCATTCCCAATCAATGGTTACCTAACTAGATCTTTATGATAGTTGATGAATGATGAGTTACATAATTATATTATTCCATGTGATTTATATCCATGTTATATCTTACACCACTGTTTTATTTACAATATTGTAGATTCCCAGATTTTGTTTGAAATATTCCAATAATTATTCATAAAAAACAATTGTTATAGTTGGTTTCTCTGCATTTAAGTATTATGTGTTTTATGATGGGGGTGCTGAATCCAAAATTTGAAGATTGCATATAACATTTAATGGAGCTTTTCCAGATTATCTAAAAGAAGAAACAAAATGTTCCCACTTTTTCCAGCTTTTGTTTATGAAGTATACAGGGTGGGCCACCAGTAACGCCTCGGTCTCTAGAAGGCTAACCACTTATCTTCTTGGAATTCTTCCTCTCTAGGAAGTTGCAAGTCAACATAGGCTACCATTTGAAATTATTTTGAAACATACAGGATGTCCCCAAAAATCACAAAACACTGAAGTTGAACTTTTTTCAATCGAACACCCTATATATTATTTCATTTTGAAATTCTCCCTGGTGAGCTGATTTCAACAATCCATCATACTTGGGGCATTGTCGTTCTGGATGGCAACCTAGTTAGGTAGTTAGTAGGCAGGAGCTATAATATTGTCTGTTCATTGAAAAGACAAATGAAGAAAATATGTAGTTCAGAGACATCTACGTGAATTAAGTGAACTAAGTTATTCATTTTTCATTCCTAACCGTAACATTTTTCGTGGTCCTGTCAAGTTTGTAAATAAAAATCTGTCATGTGGAATCCCGAAAATGAAACATTATCACGAAGGATATTATCAAGTATGAAAACCATCTACCTATACTTGAATGGAAGCAGGAAGATGTTAAGGCGATGCTGTTTTAGTATGATTTATGATGCAACTTGAATTTAAGTTGGAACTGTGGAAACTTCGGAAACTCAATAGTGCTATTACACTTTTTCGACATGCAAGCCAAGCAGAAAGGTAGGGGCTGCTAATTTCCTTCTATATTTTTGATGTTACTATATAATTCATGAAATTCCATTATTTGCAGTGAAAACATGTCTTCAGTGATGTAAACCATGTACACATCGGAATCACTATATTATACTTGGAAATTTCAGGTACCTACCTACAGCGAAGAGTACTTACAATAATAGCTTTTCAGTTGAAGAACGAAAAACTATGAATGATGTGGAAGTATCACATTAGAAATCATTATGTGAGTAATGTTCAGAAGGAATGTACCAGAAGGATGATGATGTTCGAGAACAGAATGGAAAATTTACCATCTGAAATAAATATATAGAAGCACTAAAGGTTAGACTCAATCTGGTTATTTCATCAATGTCTTACGGATATTCTGCTCCAAACACAAAATATCATTATATTTTGAAAGTCGAGCTGCAAAAATATCCAGTTCACAAGATTTTATGGAAAAACACACAAGAAAATGGGGCAGTGAATAAAATCAGAAACTTTTCATCCTGTAGTTCGATGAGCTGAATCCAGATATGCAGTAAGAACAACAATTTGTTTGCTGGAAATAGCCAGTCCCCAGCATTTCATTCTAGGCTGCAAATTATACACACCCCAATGTATATTCAATTCATCTATTTTTCAAGCAATCAATTAGATGATGAGGGACATGTGATATTCCACTCCAGCACACTCAGGACCATTTTCATAGTGAGCCACTCAGAATTTCACTAGAGTAAAGTGATTTCAAGATTGTATAGGAATCATTTTCAGATATATGGTATTCTATATTGTTCAGGGTTCTTTGTCAAGATGCTGGGATATTCAGAGTTTTTTATTGGAATATAACTTGTATGTATGAACGGCAATACAATTATTTTAATAAATTGTACATATAATTATGAAGAATTATTTCAATTTTTATTCTACTATATAGTTTGTTCTCTTCTGATACCCTGTTAATTGTTGTACAGATGTATTAGCAGGTGAGTTTGAAAACACTATATATATTGTACCAAAAGTATATAAAGTATTTTTGAAGTAAAACAATGATTATTTTTTATTAAATCATCTTATTGAAGCTACTATAACTTCACTTAATATGAGAAGATGTGTCTATTATTGCCACAAATTATACCACAGGAATATTCAATACCAATATGTATCTTTTTAATTTATATTTAAGTCAACATTTTGAATGAACTTTATTATTATTTATTGTCATTCTATAATATCTGTTCAAAAGCCCGTTTCCTCCTCAGATGCTTCTTCATCGTCAGGTCGTGTTCCTTAAGGCAGGAATTCCTCTTCAGCATCATATTCCGAACAACATTGATGAGTCTGAAAATATAAAAATATTGTCCCTAGTTTTAATGTCCTGTACCATTCTGAAATTGATTTAATGACTTTTGACTATGGAATAACTTTTAGAGGAACCAAAGTCAAGTTCTTGGAAAATTTCATACCGAAACTAATAATTAGTTAGTTAGTATAGGTACAAACTTGTTAAATACCATTTTATTAATATATCTACCTTGAACAAACTTGGAACCGTACTCTCTTTCCGAAACCGTTTCCTATTCTTCATTGGTAAGAAACAGTTCCCTCAAAATGTTGGAAACATATAGTATCATGTTCGCTTACTTCAAAAACTCACATTCCTGAAATATAAATATCATTAAGTTCCAAATATTATGCGATTCAAGAAAAAAAGTTCACCTTGATATCCAATGAATATGGTGTGAACCCATAGATGCCTCAGGATTTGAGGCTCAAATTCACAACAGTGGGGATTGGGGAAACCATGTCTTGATAATTCAATTACACCTTCACCTCCTGGAGTGCGCAGTTTTCAGATGACATTGCAAAATGACACAACCGCACTCACAAACCAATCAACAAACTTTGATAGAAAACCAACACTAGAAGAAATGATTAGGTATAATTGTAATTTCCAAGAAAAGAAATCAAAGTTCAACACATCCACAAAGACGAAGTTATAAGTTGATGACAACTGTCAGAAAATAATTTTATGATTACATGAATCTTCTTCATCGTCTTCCTATCAAATAGCACGTCAATGATGGAAAGCACGTCTGTGGTTGAGTACATATTGGAGAAAAATAGAAGAAGAAAATATCAACCTAATATGGTCTATTTTGACATAAACAAATGAGCTCTTTCCAATTTCTCTGCCTCAGCGCCACTTGACAGACAGACATATTTTGATTGAATGAACAGACAATATTATACCTCCTCGCACTAGGTCGCCTACTAGGTTCTCATCTAGATCGACAATGCTTGGGGTATAGCAGTTATAATTACTGAGATATAGGGTGTGAGAAATCGAGATTTTCCAAGTTCAAGAATTTTTTGTGTCTAAACCATTCATAATTGGTCAAAACGGCTCACATGTCCCTACCTCAACTTTTGATCAACTATCTACTGACATTTAATTGAAACAAATACAGGGTGGTGCAGAATTCAGAATCTTGATCACCCGGTAATGTGCCAATTAAATATCAGTAGATAGTTAATCAAAAGTTGAGATAGGGACATGTAAGCCGTTTTGACCAATTATGAATAGTTTCGACACAAAAAATTCTTGAACTTGGAAAATCTCGATTTTTCACACCCTATATTTCAGTAATAATAACTGCTAGACCCCAAGTATGATGGGTCGTTGAAATCAGCTCATCAGGGAGAATCTCAAAATGAAATAATATATAGGGTGTTCGATAGAAAAAAGTTTAACTTCAGTGTTTTATGGTTTTTGGGGACACCCTGTATGTTTCGAAATAATTTTAAATGGTAACCTATGTTGACATGCAACTTCCTAGAAAGGAAGAATTCCAAGAAGATAAGTGGTTAGCCTTCTAGAGACCGAGGCGTTACTGGTGGCCCACCCTGTAGAACTATTGGGCTAAGAGCAGGTTGAATATTTACCAAATTTGCGTACTTTGCAAAAAAATATTCAGTTCTAATTAATAATCTATGCATTACAAATTGACATATTGAAAGAATGTAGAGACGTTGATAGCAAGAACTAAAATGAACACTGAAATGCTTATGCTGACGGGCTCTACTCCAGAAATTTTGAACTAGATTATCTTTTTTATTTTCAGTTAGGCAAGTGAATAATTACTTTTTTCCA